AGTTTTATGCCTGGGATATTATTTATTTTTTCATCTATGTTTATCATAGCTAATTCAGCTAATTTGGGTCCCATCTTTGATCCCATACTGATGCCATCTACCTGTCTATAGAAGTCAGTATTGGCTTTAAAATAGTTTCTGGTGTACGCGAAGTGTATTAGATTAATTAAAGTTTTATCTACATTTAACATGATTAGGCTTTCCTCTATTAATTTTCATTTTATATTTGGGTACATATTTTTGACATCTAGACTGATTAGTGTGTCAGTGTTACTTTTCTGTATTTTCAGTAACCTATTTATAACATCATCCGCGTTTTTTACGGCGTATTTAGACAGATCGATGCTGGTTAACTGTTGCTTGATATATTGTTCTAAGTTGTAAAGTATGGAAAATTTGAAGTCTACTAAAGGTCTGAATTTTTCTTCATTTTTGTGGGTTTTTAATCTTATATTTAGTTTGGGTGTTCTGTTGTTTTTGAAATTAAGGATATAATTTTTATTGTTTTCACTTAAATTATTATTTGCGTATATGTTTTTGACCAAATTAATTAGTTCCTTTTTAATATCTTCGTATGGGTTATTGTTTAATTTAATATAATTTATGTTATTAATCTGCTCTATAGTCTTCTGTTGTAAATTATTATTGTCAATGATTATCAGTTGGTCGGTTTTGTCTGCTTTAATTATTGAGAGATTATTTGCTTTAAGGAAATTTATTGTATGATTTAAAAAAATTTTATATTTGTTGATTCTGTGTTTATTGTTTTGTTTTGGATGCATTAAATTTTGGATAATCGTTGTAAGTAAATTTCCTTTTTCTTCTTTTTTAATAGTTAAGTCTTTTACGCTTTTGTCAATATCGGCTATTATGTTTGTTGTTATATTATTGATGGGCAAGTTATATTCTATTCCTAATGCAAGGAGATGTCTTACATATTTGGGTATTGGTACTTTGGAGTTATTTATGATTAACTTATTGGCCCAAGCATTAATTTCCTTGACATAACAATCATGAATACACTTAATAATTTCTCTTTCATCACATACAAAAAACCATGTAACGTTAATAAAACTATCAACTACTATTCACATGTCCCAGAATATATAAAAAGGAATATTTATACCATGGAGTTAAAAAACATATATACAAGAATATCTGATAATAAATGGCAAAAAATAAAAATAAAAGAGCTTGAAACTAAATTTTTACTTAACGACTATCCTAAATCGAAATTAAACACATGGCAAAAGCAATACTGGGAAAATAGATTTAACACAAAATATAAATCCGACAAAAAATACAAAACCTTCCCATATATAAAAAACATTTTTGAAGGCTGTAATAAGTCATTAAAAAAAGACAATATCAGTTTGGCTCCATCTTTGACCAACAAAATATCTCATAGTATCCATTATGACATTAATAAACAACATAACAACAAACTAAACGCCCTTAAAACTATAGGAACTGTTTACAAACTTGAATGCAACTGTCAAAATCCAAAAACTTATATTGGTGAAACAGGCCGGTCACTAGAAACCAGAATTAAAGAACATATGGCAGCCATCCGCCTAAAACATAACACTTCCCCCTGGTACTACCACACAATAGACTATAATTGCCAAATTAATAAAAACAATACAAAAGTGTTACATGTAGAAAAAGACACATATAAAAGAAAATTTAAAGAACACATAGAAATCAAAAAACACCCTAAAGAAAACTTAATTAATGTTTCAGAAGGCATGTCCATAGACCCCCAATGGTACAAACTCATAGAGAACGCCTCCACGCGTTAAAGATTGTTTAAATCACAACCCCCGTGTACGGAATGTGGGTAACTGTTTATATAACATTACTTGTCGGTATTCTGTTACTAAGCGAACAACGGATAAGACCAGTTGTTAAAAATGTTTTGTACTATGTTCCTTTTTGTATTCGGAAATAATACATTCTAACTAAAATGTAAGTGTGCATTGATATTTTTTAAATTAATATTCTATGTTATACAGTTCGTCATAAAAATGATATGTTAAACAGCCTCCCCCTTATACCACTTTTTTCATATCATAGGCTATGCCATACTACTATGTAATCAAAAAATTTTGTAAAATACATCTATGCTGTACCATTATATGTCAAGTAAGCAATTTTATGTTATCATCACCTCGCGTTTTTAGTTATGTTCCTACTAACCAATACCGTAAAACTAACCTTAAATTATATTTTTTTGTGTAATCTTAACAGCACTGAAGAGGGGTTGGGAATTTAAGCCAACCCGAAATGCATATGAATTAGGAATTTTTTAAATAAAACGTACGTTTTCTAACCAATTGCTGTCCGTTCGTCTACCAACTCGTTTTGGATTACACAGACGCTACACACTGCATCTGATGATACAGCAACCACGTCCTCTACATTAAAATATATAATTCATTAATAATTTACTGGAAGTTTTCATTAATTGAAATTGATTGAGAATAAAACTTATCAAGTTAAATTGTGTTTGTTTTTGTTTTGACAATTTAAATAACAATGAAATGAAAGTTATTCATTAAATGAAAATTTTGATATATACAAGGTGCAACAATTTAATTCCTGGAAGGGCCGCTTAGTGTTGTCCATGACAGTTGTATCGAAATGACATGCACGTTCATGTTTGAATGTGTTTGTACTAATACGTGCATAAATTTCAAGCTGATAGAGCGAGTCAATAATTAGTTATTGGGAAGGTAATAATTGTGTGTGTACTCCTTGATGTAAAAATGGGTGAACAAAATTTAGAGCAACATTAATATTAAATTTTTTGTGAAAATTGTCATATGTGCTACTGAAATGTTACAACTCTTGCAAGTGGCATATCGTAAAGATTCTTTGAAATCCTAAAAAGGCATTCATGTCATACTCACAGTTTAAGACCATGTTGGTGTGTTTCTTCAATTACAAAGAAATAGTCCACCAAGAATTCATTGAATAGGGACAAGCAGTCAATCAACAATGCTATTTATAAGTACTGCAGAGATTATGAGATTCTTTTTGAAGAAAAAGACCTGAACTGTGGCCTGACAAGTAGATCATTCATCATGACAATGTGCCAGTCATAGTGAGACATTTTCTGGCCAAAAAAAGCAATTATCTAATTATATCATCTTGCCTATTCACCTGACATTGCTTCTTATGATTTTTGACTGTTTCCAAAATTAAAAGATGTGCTGAAAGGATGAAGATTTTGTAATATAACTGATATCCAACAGAATGTGAGACTGCTGTTTAACAGTATTCTGGAGAATGAGTTCCAGACCTGCTTCCAGAAATTTAAGTCAGATGCACAAAGAGTATACTTTGAAGGTCACAGTAGCCACTAATGTACCATTCTGCATGTATATTTTTTAAAGTGCATTCCAGTAATTAAATTGTTACACCTTATATAGTATGAATTTGCAGAACTCTAATCATTGTTATAATAAGCATTAGGGGTCCAGCAAGATTTTCTTGTTATAACTGTTACTCATTATATCTGTGATAAGCAGTGACATAACTAGGGGGAGAATGGGTAGCTGCTTTGAGTGAAAACATGTAAAGGATGCCTTGCAGGTTGAAAAACTTGTAGCTATGCCACTGATGATTAATGAAATCTAGCTTTTAAATTTTAATTCTAAATAAGTTGATTCAAAAATATATGTAATTACATTACACTATTTTTATTAGAAGTTATATAAACTACAATATAATTAATATTAAATAATTTAATTATTCATAATTAAAGATAATACTATTAATAATATGCCTGATTTCAGTTAGTCTTTTTATCTACAAAGCTTAAAATTAATGATTGCTTTATTTTCCTATAATGTCAATACTGTCGAAGATGACAAAGAAAACTTTATATATACTAATTCATTTTTAGCACCATTTCTAACTTATGAATAATTTCTATTTTTTTGTAAACTGAGAGAGATTTTCTTATCTTCATAGACATCTTTCTCATAGAAGGGCTCGTTTCTAACTAAAATATATGGTAATTTTACAATCATAATGATGATTAGGTAAATTGGCAGAGTAGGGCCAGAAGCTAGTCAAGAAAGGAAGTTAAGTGATAAATAGGCCTGTAATCAATGCAGGTCATAAAATTAATTATCACTGGTCATAAAACTAAGTAACCCTTTCAGTGTTATCTTATCTGAGAATTCAGTATCACATTTCTTACTACTTGAACAATTAAGAATGTTTGTGTATTTGCGTAGCTACCGAAAATTTGCTTGGTATATTCATGAAGTACACTTGTTACAACTATGATGAAATGTATGGAAATACATGTAAATTAAAATTGTTATGCTCATTATATCTGTGAACTTGTTATGTCCATGTTCATTATAACCAAGCTTGACTACCAAGTTATAACCATTCAAATGAATATTAGAGAAACTAACTTTCTTCAAAACACTAATTTTAAATATAATTTATAATGTTTTATTAGCTATCTACCTTTTTAAAGTTTTCAACTATTGATAGTAATGAATCAAATGAAATTTGTGTGGAAATTTGTTTTTCTTAATTAACATACAGAAATTGGATGAACTTACGAGATGCTGATACTGGAAAGATTTTGTGGCAGGGGTCAGATGATTTGTAAGTAAACAAGTAATAAAATAGTTATTGTAGATTAATTATGATTTTTAATGTAGTCAAACTCAGTTTTCTTGATACATTCTTGATCTGCACACTTACATTTAATTATCATAGGAGCATTTAAAAGTTGTCTTATTGACAACTATAACAACACTGAATGATTATCATCATTCAGTGTTGTTATATTTGTCAATAAGACAGACAGCCTTTGTGAATTCTAGCAAAATGATTTAATTAGAAGAATGTTTTCAGCCATGTGTCATAAATCAATAGAATACAACATTATATTGATAGAATGCATAGACATTCGATAATTTTACATTCTAAAATTTAAAAATTTTGTAAGAACAATTTTTTAATTTTTGAAAGTAAAACTTGCCAAATGTCTATGCATCCTATTAATAGAATGGTATATTCTATTGGTTTGATATACGAGGTCTGTTCAAAAAGTATCAGACTTTTATTTTTTCCGCGTAAACCAATGATGCGCGGGGGCCTCTTTCGGTGGAGTTGTGGAGCGTACAGTCATGCACAGCCCTGAATTTTTTTCCGCCTGCAGGAAGCGTCAGTCGTTGGCAGTCAGCCTATGAGTGAGGATATGTAGTGAGCTCTCGTCGGATTCCACTAAGTTGGAAAATGACTGAACAACGTGAGCAGCGATATTACATCAAATTTTGCCAAAAACCTTGGTGATACCCAAGCGTAAACCATTCACAAGATTCAGCAGGCTTTCAGGGATGATCCTCGAGGCCAAAAAAAGCGCAGCAGATCCGCAGCAATATCAAGGTCATGTTGACAGTTTTTTCGACTCTCGTGGGGTGGTGTATCGTGAGTACGCACCACAAGGCCAAACCATCGCAAAGGAGTACTACCAGGAGGTCCTTCGTCGTCTTTTCGATGCTGTGCAACGCAAACGACCGGATCTGTGGTCGATCAAAACTTGGCAGCTCCATTGTGATAACGCATCCGCCCATTCTGCACATTTGATTCGGGCTTTCGTCGCCAAACACAACACTCCTGTGGTTCGTCACGCTCCGTACTTCTCCCCACATGGCTTCGTGTGACTTTTGGCTATTTCCCAAGCTGAAAATGCCGCTAAAAGGAACCTGAATTTAGTCGAGAGAAGACATCGTGTGGAATGCGGCGGACCGGCTGATGGCCATTCCAAAAGATGCGTTCCAGCAATGGCAGGAATGCTGGGAGAAGTGTATACACTAGCAAGGAGACTACTTTGAAGGGGATTAGTGTTTTGTACCTCAAAATCAATAAATGTATTTTTGCCGACCAAAGGTCCGATACTTTTTGAACAGCCCTCGTATGACTTGAAGCTGGCCTATTAATTTAAGAAAGCTAAAAATGTTCATCTAATTAAATAACCTTCATAAATTCCAGCAAAATTATCTGCTTATCTTCTAGTATTTTTATTCCAATTTATGAAGTTTTAATAATTAAAATTGTCATTAAGGTATTTATGATATCAACTAATGAGTAGTTTCATTAATAAAATTTTAGTCAGTACTAATCATGAGTAGCCTACATCAGAATGAGCAATACAGTTTTGAAGTTATCAAAGAAAACTATAACTTTTATAAATTTTGATATACGAATTCTCGAATTGGCAAATACTGTTCATACAATTGTGAATCCAACAATGCTCTTATCAATAAAGTCTTTGGTATATCAATATTGATTGATATTGATATGATAGTATTATTGATTGATATTGATTTATCAATATCAATAAATCAATTTTATATTATACTACAGGTAGTCTTTGTGAAGTTTTGGGGTGTGTGTATATAATTTTGTATAGATTCTAAAGATAGTCATCCAAAAGCATTAAGTAAAGAGTTTATGTAACAAATATTAGTCTACTTTATTATTTTATTGTGAATACTTTGATGATTGCTTCAAAAATTTTTCAGTTGTGTAATTAATTTCTTTCAGCTAATTTAATAATTTCAACTTATAATTTGATTGGCTAAACTAATTTAAGAGCCTTGTGGATTCACTAGACCAGCGATTCCCAACCTGTGGTATGTGTACCCCTAGGGGTACGTGATAGGTTGTTTAGGGGTACAGAAAAAAGTTAGTTATTATGGCAGAAAAAATAATATATTATGTATCACAAACTAATAGTATTAAAAAATTATTAGATAAAAAATGTTCCTTGCAATAATCACAACTTTATTATACATTCTTTCTTTTAGGTTTTTTTTCTTTAATTTAAAGTTACAATATGTAAAATTAACAATACGGTTACTCACTAAATTTCTTAAATGAGGGGTACAATCTAGAGATATGACATGTCACAGGGTACGCTAATGAAAAAAGGTTGGGAACCACTGCACTAGACGATTGCCTCAATGTTTGTCAGACTAAAAACTTTTGACATTGGTACATTGATATGTGATGCAAGTATAGTGTCACTATTACTTATCAGTTAGTTTATCCAAACTCAGCACAACCAAGTTTAAAACACCAGTTTATAGGTAAATAATTCATTGAATGCCAATATCATTTAGGATGTTGATGTAAAATGGATTCATTATCAGTATTGAATTTTCTAATGTAATGAATGAATTAGCTCAGAATTGTCCTAGAAAGATCTCTCTCTCTTGCTTTCAGAGAATGTTGGGCATTTTCTTAAAGTGTATGTAGTGTGTCTGCATTGTATATATAATCTTATATACAATGCAAATAAACTGCAATGTTATTTATTTAATGTTTTAAGACTATCTATGAAATAATTAACACAACAGTATAGCAGTATTACAAACACAATTTATTAGCATAATTAAGATATACTCTCTAGTACTTTTGACAGCTTACAGCCATCATCATCAGATGTAAAAGAATCAAATACAATTAATTTTTGAACTTTCAGTTATTTGAACTGACTTTTTCAAGCTATCCAAGGCATGTGGATTGAATACAGAACAAAATTAAATTTAAATGTTTTTGAAAAATTATAGAAATACATTGTAATTCATGTCATATTTTCAAAAGCCCTTACATTACAGTGCTCCCTCTGTTTGCACTAGAACTTTTTCATCTGCCTGATTGACTGTAGTGGCACTTGGCATATCACAGAAGACAGGTGTTTTGTCAGCATTGTCTATTGCCCTTAAGTCGTAGCTGTGTGTCTTTTTTAAGCTGAGGACATGTTTCTGAAATGTGAGCAGTTTCTCTTTGTAGGTATCAGAAAGCCATTGCGCCATTGAAGTTTGACACTGAATCACAAGCTCATGTTGTGCTGTAAAATGTCTTGCCCAGCTGTAACTTCCCTTAAATTCACTTTTGGAAATTTTCATATTTTGAGCAACCCTTTGTGCTTCAAACTGAATCATTTCAACAGATACAGAAAATCCATTTGCCTGAATTTCACAGATACATCTCAACACATTTTCTTTCAGGTCAGGAATTTCACTGTCTTTCCGTGAAACAATTGCTGATTTTTTGATGTTTTCTCAAGAGTGTTCTTTGTTTGTATCTATCACTACATGTTTTTTTCATCTACATCAAACTTCCTTCCTACTGCTCAATTTTCATTTTCTTGTGCATAATATATCACTTGCAATTTAAACTTTGGTACTTAACACTCTCACTTGACCCATGTTTAACATGCACTGAGCAAGCACTCAATAGTAAGCATTAACCATCACTTCATCCCTGTTTGAAATTTGCAGTGTTGCCATATTTCTTTATACCTGCATGTGTATTCTTATTCCTTGGTGGAGTTCTAAGATTTTTATCCAAATATATTGTTTCATAAACTAGGTGTGGCTTATACATGTGATACAATATACTTGATAGGTTACTGATAAATGATATTATTCTATATTTTCAAATGACTGAACAGTCTAATAAAAAAGTAATATGGAAAAAAGGAGGCTTTTTTAACTGCTAATAACTTTTGTGTATTATTTTCAATTATTTTTTGACACAGTAACATATTTTCAAGATATATAAGAAGTATCTTGAATAGGAGTCAATAAGAGAACAGACATACAATTTTGATTATTTTTTATCACTCAGTGACTATCAGGAATTGTCAAATTATTCCAAATTTAGAATACTTTGTGTTTGCTCCTAAATTATGTTAAAATTGTAGATTAAAATTACTCAAAATTATGCTCATTTAATACAGGGTATTAGATGAGCCACTTAAAGGTATAATAAAAGAAAAATTTGTGATCTACAAAGCATCAGCCACTATTTGGATGCCACTGTAATTGTTGTTTTGAATGCTATTGCTTGTAGAATTGATGTTTGTGATGCTTGTTTAGCATTGTTTTTGTCACATGTAACCTTGGAGTAATGGCTGACATACTGGCTTAATGTATATTTGAAATTGGATAAGTAACTCAGAGAAACTGGCTTGTAAACATGCCATGTGTAAGATGTATGAGGGAAATGCTGAATGGATTTGATAATTATTTCAGAGAAGGCTGATGAAATCCATTTGACAGATTAATATACAACTGTGAGGTTGTAAAGATGAAATTTAGACATTTTGAAAAAAACTGTTGACAATTAACTAAGCAATGATTACAGTTCAGTCTTGTAGGTAATTACTAATCAATATCAGTCACATCTCACCACCTTTCCTGCCAATTTGCTCCCAAGAGCATAGAATGAGTGGGAGTTTCTTTTCTTTGAAGAAAGTCTTGAGTGTCATTCTCATGTGGATATTGTCATTGAACTGTATATTAGCAATATGGTTCTGCAGGGTGCAAAATGGATTATAATTAGTTGATGCCAAGTTTGATCTGTAAGGTGGATGAGGCAGAATCACCCAGTCCTGATTGGGCAGCTTCTCTAAGGTCATCTTTGTCCTAGTATCTGACTTTATCAATTTTTGGAGTGTATAGAAACACTCAAGTTGTGTTAATTCTCTGATGGTCAATCATGAATTATTTGTCTATCAGTTGCAGGAGAACATAGTCATCAATGGTGATATTACTATCTGGAAAAGGTTCATCTTGAAGTTTCCATCCTTAAATTTCTTAAACCAATTATAGCAAGTCTGCCTGTTGATTGTGTCTTTGCCAAATGCCTGCAGATGAGATTGTAAGCCTTCATTGCTTTGCGGCCATTTTTGAAGTGATAGCGCCAATAGCATGTAAACATGTTTTTCAAAAGTTTCATATTGTTGGACATTGCTGATGTATCTATTTCCAATGAAATGAAATGCCCCGATTCTCTACTTATATACTCACATAAACATTTTTTTTCCAGTTGATGATAGAAAAAATTAAAATTTCTAAATTTCACTTTTACAACCTGATACAAATCTCATCAACAAAATGATAGAGGTACAGGTATGCCATAAAAGATTGCATTTAAGCCAGTTCATACTTTGTGAGAATGGAAAAGAGAAGAGAAAATGATACTAAATTTAGGTTTAGTGTGCAACACTTTTCACATTACTAGTGATATTCTTCAATTCCCTTTTTGTTAGAGAATTACCAATAGAAAAAGTCAACAGAAGTGTACTTTTCCTTCTGTTGGTAGCTCACAATCTTTTGCACCCTTCAACATGGAGACCAATAGAATTGAAATGAGCAAATATTTATTGTGATATTGTCACAATGCCAGCTGCAATTTTTCATCATATTATTTAATTTAAAATATATGCTCTCCATCTTCAAATTAGTAATGTCTTGCTTCTATACATCATACTTTTCCTTTAGCAAGTAAGTTGTGCCAGTCATCTATCTAATTCCTTTCAAGGGAAATTTTTGGATTGAAATATTAAGACTTCTGGTTTGCATCAGAATTTCATATATAGTTAATTGCGGCTTCCTACCCTTAAACTTTCCATATCTGGTCTCAGCTTTCATCTTTATAACTCTGTTCTCAAGATTAAGGAAGGACAAACATGCAGATGGATGGATGGATGAATGAATTGACAGATGACAGTGAGAATTTTTAGGTCTACAATTTTCTCAAATTGCATCTCAGTCGTTATAATTACAGCAGAATTATTTTCAATGAATTGTAGTTTATTACTTACATATTTTAAGTTAAACATATCTGAACAGGTAATATATTTACATAGACCTATATATTTCCATTCTCTCTTCTTAAATTAATTTATGTATTCTGATTTTTTTTAAATTTACAACTTGAGGTTTTACTTTTGCTACACTTTCAAAGCTTTATTTTAAATAGCATATGCACAATTCTCTTTCATTCTTTTGAAGTATGAACCTGTATGTGAAGAGAATAATAGAAGAGAGACATTCTCTTCTCTTTTCCATTCTTATGAAGTATAAACTGGCCTTTGCATATAAGATTTAATTGCATTAACAAGTGAAATTGGAAGACAGGACAGCACAGAAAAATTTTGCAGAAATAACATTGGTCAAAACTGATGGTTTCAGACACTGCCAACATTCCATGTGTCTAGAAAAATAAGATATAATAGCCACTACTGGGGTCCAAAAATTTGCATTTATATGAATATTAATGGGATTCTCCAAAATGCAATGTTTTGTATAGGATTATGAAAGACAGACTCGCTCTCTCTAGTTTTCTTTTTTTATTGAGGCTATCATAGTCTAGGTCCCTCCGTTTTGTCTTTAATTGATAAAGTAGAAAAACTACAGCACTTGGAAAACACATGAACTGAATAGAATGCAAAAAATTTTATAGGTGGAAATCTGTTCATTGATTTTAAGAAACAAGATACAATCATTTTTGAATCATCATTTGTGATGAGAAATGGATGATTGCAAAAGATCTGGCCTTATTCTGTCACCGTCTCTCGTCTCTCACAAGCCGGTCGCTGATTGGCTAATCATTTGGATTAGCCAATCAGCAACTGGCTTGTGAGAGACGAGAGACCAGAGATGATGACCAGAATACGGCCCCTGATCAATTACTTAATCCAAAAGAATCTTGTAAACATAAGCTGAAATCATCTTCATACAAATATATGCTGACTATGGTGGGCAGTAAAAAATTAAACAATTAATTCAGAAATATATATTAAACAAATCAACAAATTGAAATAATGAATAAAAAATTAATTGAAAAATAGCCAGCATTGGTGAATAGACAGTCCAAAAAAAATTTTTTTACAATAAACATTACACCAAAGATGGCACCTGTGTCCAAAGTGGCAGGCACACTGGAAGAAATTATCTGGCATATAACATATGATTTTATATAATTTTTACTGTTAAATTTCCATTACAACTTTTTGTTATAGTTTTATGTTCAGGTTGTAAAATTTATTATTTATATCTAGATTTATAAATTTTACATTTTTATATAAAGTTTATCATTTATGTTTTTGGATTAAAACTATATATGTAATTTTATTTTCAGATCTAAACCAGAAGTGGAGCATGAAGGTAAGTAAATTTTATTAATGGTTTAATAATAATGATATTGAAATTTTATAAAAAATGCATGGTTATTTTTATTTTTAAGAAAGCTACAAATTTATGTAAGAAGTATTGATGTGTTATGTAATTTCTAAAAATATTGCTAAAATATTTATATTTTGAAAAGTAGATTTACACTAATAAGAATATTGGGTGATCAAACAAAAGTGTACTTACAGAAGTAGCATGAGAGTTTAGTGATATTGAGTTGGTGTCACTTAGCTGACTCGTCATGCTTCACAGATTCTCAAATATAGTGTTAGCTTATTGTTGTTATTACTTAAATTAAGTATTGAAATAACTGAAAATGCCTTACACTAATAAGTGGAAATGTCAAACTGAGTCAGCAAATTTCTATAGTGGAAAGTTAAAGAAAAGGATTACTAAGAATTAAGGCAAAAGCTTATACAAGAACATTCTAAATTATCTGTGCTTACAATCTATGCAATTTATGTTTAAAAACTTTATAATTAATGTTAGTCCATGGGATTTGTGTGTAACTAAAAGAGTTTTCATAAACAAAGTTATCCATGGAAAAATTTGAAGACATTTTGCATACTTAGAAGCATTGTATATTCTTTTCTCTAATAAGCATGTTGGTGATCTGGCTTTATCAAAAATTGGTCTTAGTGGGGAGTCCAATTTGTGCGATTTCACAAATGCAAATAGTTTCTGAGTGTCTGGTAAGGTAACCACCACTCTGTCTAATTGTAATTTCTTAGTTATTGCAGTACATGCAAATTTTATGACTTTTGCAGGTTGTCTATGTACCACTCATTAATCCACTTTCATTTGGTAGTTTTAATGTATTTGTTCATTTGTGCCTTGTATGAAGACTCTTTTCATTAATATAAGTGCTTTGTTTTTTATTTCTTTCAATATGTTAATTTGATTCTCCTTCAGCAATATATTGCATGAACAATAACCCATATGGGTCCTCTCTGAAACTAGAGCAATTAAGTAATAATGCAGTACATTTTTTTTGACAAATATTGAGTTCAAGGACGGTCATATTGAAACCGACATATATCACAAAACAGATACCATACATAAATTTATATCTTACAGAATTTGTATCTTGAGATAATTGAGATCTAACTATGAAAAGAATCAAATTTGGTTTTGCTAAGTAAGGATGGTTTGTGAATTTATACATAGTTTTAAATATTATCTCTTGAATCTGTAGTAAATATTTATTTATGTATTCAAAATTTACATGTTTGTTGTAACATGGAGTAAGGTTGTACAAGTTCCGTAGTCTCATGGTATCTCCAAATCTAACTCAATGTTACAAATCCCTTGATTTATTTCTCATGAGTAAACTTTTTGTTTGAAAGTCTGGTATAATGTTTTCCAATCTTTTTGGATTAGCAACACACTTTGTATTTAATAAGATTTCTGTGACACATCATAATTTAAAATAAATTATGGTTGATTGTTAAAAATTTTCATAATAAGAAAGTTAAACTTACTATGACAAAACTCACAATTTTACAAATATAATATAAAAATGAAAAGAGTATTTGAATCAATGCATAAAGAGCTAGTATCAGTTTTTAAGCTGGTAAGCTGTAATGTTTATAGAAGCTCCACAGAATTGGAACACTGGCATATGCATAGATGAATGCAACTTTTGTGAGAAGTATACTGATGCCACAAATTTTGCAACAGTCTGCATTTTAGTGAATACAGTAGAGCATCGATTATCCGACTCAATTGGGGACTCGGGTTGGTCGGATAACTGAAAAAATCAGATAACCGAAAAGAATGAAAAAAATACATTATTACTATAGTATATTATATATTAGTATAGCCCATGTAATTAGTATATCGCTATTAACCAACTTTGCATTGAATTTTCATCGATGTTAAGCCTAACAAATTTTTTTTTTTTTAAAGTAATAATTGTCGCTATTGTATCATTAAAAATTATTTTTAAATTATTTTATTGCTCACAAAACAAACAACCACTCATAATTAGAAAATTAAGTCTCGTTTAAATACTGGCCTCCCTTCAATGGTCGAGCCGTGTTGCCAGCTAAAACACGCAAAAATTTAACAAAAATAATATTAAAGTAGCCAAGACATAGCCAAATATTGTAGTGCCACATCACTAGCGGACATTTGAAATTTGCCGACTAGAACGGTCGGTTAACCGAAGTGACGGTTAATCGGGGGTCGGATAATCGATGCTCTACTGTACTTCCTTCTTCTTTCAGTTGGCCATAGTAAAAAGATGAAAGATAAATGAAATTTAAAAAAAAAAGCTTATTCAAAATTATAAAAAAATATTTAATATTTTTCTGCAACACACTTGTGGCACTCTCACAACACACTTGTGTGTCATGGCAGGTTGGGAAACACTGATCTGGTACATTGAACATAATGATTATATAGTTTTAATATTTCTAATTTTTAAAGTTCAAATAAAAGTAACATATGATTTTTATTTTATGTATATCATAATGGATTATTAAATATTTACTAAAGAAGGATTAAGCAGTTTTACAACAAACATCAAAATTACAGGTTATACCAGTATTATTCTAGATATGCTATCTAAATAAAGTATAAAATACTTTATTATAAAAAGAACTTTAAGTCTTTAAAATGTTAATTAAGTTATGCAGTAGAAGTTCATTAATCTGGCACCTGATAATTTGGAATGTATAGTAATCCAACACTCTCTGAAAAGTAGCCAATATTCCAGAATTGTCCAATAATAATTCTGCATGTGAGTTTTCTGTAAATCAAAATTTGTTTGGATATGTGATATACTAAAGACTATGAGGAAATAAAGGTGAAGGTGAGATACAGCCAAACATAGGTACAGTACATATCAGGAGGTTAGTTTTGGAATTGAGAGCAACGTGATCAAGAAAAATTATTCAATTTGTTCTAGCCTCTTGTTTTTGATTGGTTGGATACTTTGACTGTTTTTTTTCCCCCTATGTGTAATGTGTGTTTATGCCACAATAACCAAATAAGTTGATGCAAACATCTTTCAAGTTTGGACTTGAAAAGCATTCTTCTTGTTTACAGGTTTCAACACGAATCCAATATTAACTACATCTGCATGACAGTGTCAATAAAAGAAGCTATCTTGCACAGTAATGTCAGTTGCAGCATGTGTGTCACTTTTTAGCCCACATTTATTCAGAAAAGTTATAGAATTAAAGCAGATAGAATTGACAAGCCAATTAGATTTTGAGACAACATACCTCATCTTTAAACTAAACTTTTGGAGCTACTAGCCATCTATATCACCTTATATCTTATATACCAATATTAGCATTTATGCAAAAGAATAGAATGAAAATGGAAAAAGTGGCAAAAGATGTAAAAAGGAAATGTGTGAAATTGAGTGTAACAATAAAAATAAAAATATGTTAGACAACTGGAAAAGGAGGTAAACCAGCAAAAAAGTTATGAACAATTTTACCATTGGAACAATCTGTGATATAAAAAAGGAAAAGCTGTTGTCATTTATAGTTGAAAGTGAAGCACCTATTAAACATATAAACAAAGTTGTGTATAAAGACAACTAAAATGACTGAATTAGATTCAGCTTTGTATAATGATTTAATGCAAAATGCTCTGAAGGAGTTCCAATTATCGGCCCAATGATCATTGAAAAAGAAAGCAAAAGCATTTAATTCCAAAATGAACATCAATAAGGCATGTACAGTACTTTCTGTGATGATTGTCATCTATGATTCAAACAATAACATGGCATTTAAAAATGATATGTAGACAACAACTCTACAAACCCCAATTTCTGATTAAAGTCAAATGAACTACCAAATTATTAGGTTATGATTAGGCTAAGTTAATAATTAAATACAGAGCAATTTGTCTAGAGGTAGGTGGTTAAGCTACTATCTTGTGACAATTTTAATAATTATAGTAAATTAATTTTAATTTAGAATTTTCTGGAAGAAAAGAATTGGCCCAGAGTTGGAGTCAAAGTCAACTTTTGCTTATTGTACAGGTGTGTTACCAGTCACACTATTCCAGTTATATCTAAATTAATAGTTCTGGAAGTAAATCTTTGCCTCAGACAGAATTACTAATCTATATATATAATCAAGATAGGTTGATAATAATTAAGTGCAGAGCCCAAACAGTTAGGAGTTGAAAGTTGAAATTTGGTACACAGTTAGGGTATGTCACAAGAACGTATACTAAGAAGGGATTTTTCTAAATTTCTCCATGGAGGAGAGGGAGAGGATTAAGGCTTACCCTGAAGAACTCTGCTTCTACTGTACTATTTTAGATGCGGTTTTTTGCATTTTTGATTGTGTTTTAATAGGATGCGTACACTAAAGCCTGGTACCCACATGCGGCAACGGATGACGGAACGGCAAAATGACGTCACTTTTGCCATCGACGTTGACGGAATACGAAGTTGAAAATTTTCAACTTTTGCCGCGACGGAAAGCGGCATGGTAAAAATTAAACCAATAGGAGGACCGTTTAGTAATGCTGTCATAAAGATCACGTGGGACGATAGCGTTCAAACTATGGCGGTCGGCAAGCTAAAACGCTTTATTTGTACACTAATACGCTAATATATTTTATTTATACGCTATATTACTATCCGATTTAAATATTAATGTCAAATAGACTTACTGTTTCTAACTTTCGACGATTTACAATATTTTTCCTATCCAAATTATTCGTTTTTCAGGTTTTTTTATTTGCGATAAGATCGAAGGCAAACTTAAAAAGTTTAATTGATATAACAAAGCAATCCCGGTAGACGTGATTTTCGACTACTGGCACGTGGCCTATCTACTGTAGTAGCTTGTTTATATTTACGGCTGGCAGATGGCGCGTTTCAATTGTAGGGTAATTTCCGCATGTGAGTACACGAGACACGGAAAGATGATGGAATGGCAACCGTTTCTGTCAACGATTTCCGTCGTCCATTGCCGCATATGGGTACCAGGCTTAAGAAGGGATTTTTCATAATTCCCCCCACGGAAGAGAGGTTAACACCACTTTCATTCTTAACACTTCCTCCATGGGGGGAAGTGTTAAGAGAAAGCAGCATACAAGATTAACAGGTGCAAATGCATTTTTGTGCAAAATCAAACATATTTTTAGACCCATCTAAAAGTTCTCTTATTAGTCTGGAAACAGGGGGACTAATTTTTGTATTCTGTGAAAATCAGTAAGATTGGCTATAATGTAATAACCTTAATTTTTGCTATTGTTACTTTTTGCCCGAGAAATGCCAGGCTTATTTGCTAGTTTAGATATAACCATACATGTCACTCATAGTGCCAACTAGGAACAAAGTACCCAAGAACCACCTCCATGGCACTCAGCCAACTATTGCTTTTACTCTGTCATGGTGTGATTGTGTGTGTATATACACCATTACACATGTGTATATATATGTATATAGAGTTCCTACAAATCTGAAAAGTCAGGAAAAATTAGGGATTTTCATTAGTGTTCAGAAAAAGTCATGGAAAGTCAGGAAATTTGTCAAAAAAGTCAGATTTACCTCCTTGGCTGCCTTATTGCTGACAATATGCTTGACTAAGTGCATCTACAGGCAGCAAGATGTAATGTGGTGCAATACAACTTATGAAAAGAAGTGCGGAATATTTTTAGGACCCAAAAATTTTCCCAAGCAATAAACAGAATTTTTTCAAAAATTAACAAAGTACAAAAAATAATAAATAGTTTTAATTTAAATGGTATAATTTATCATTTTAATAATTTTGATTGCAAAAAAAATGTGATTTTTTTTTCCAGTTTATTAATATTTTATAAAGATCTGGAAATTTAAGGCATAAATTTAATAAATATATACTTTTGTACATGGATTATACAAGATTTGTTAATGAATAGTAAATAAATGCTTTTTTCTTCTTTTTAAAGCCATATAAATTTATGGTTATGGATTAATAACAGAATAAACTACTTTAATTTAATCAAACATTTTATTTTTAGTTTTAATAATTCAGTAATTATTTATAGTGTATAGTGTCAACACCATGAAGTGTTGATACTATACACTGGACTTTTTCACATCTACTTAGTTATTTTTTCTAATTAACATAAGAAACAACAAAAAAGTTGGAGAAGCAATAGCATATGTGCATAGTAAGTCAAATGCTGTTTTATTTTGTCAATTTGTCATACTGCGAGGGATGAGTAACTCTACAAACATAGCCTAATTATAACCTGATAATTTGGCAGTTCATTTGGCTTCATTCAAAAATGATATTTGTGGAGAACAAAAGTTTACCAATCGTATTGCTGTATAGGAACACTACAATGTTTTTTTTAGCAGTTGGTACAGTGTAATGATTTATTGCCTTGTCACATACAAAATGACAATGAAACTGGGTTTATGCAGCATTATCTACTGAAGTCTGCTTTAGCTGGAAATGATGAGAAAGCTGCTAAGAGATTTAAACAGAATAAGGCCAGAATTAGTGAATGTGCAGTTTCCTTCAGTCTTTGATATACAGGAGAGTGATTCTTTTTAAGCATAATTAGTTGGGGAATTTAAAAAAATCAGAGAGAATGATGATCAATTACATCAAAAATATAAATTATCAAAATTTTCAAAAATACAAAAATGTTTGATAGATGGTATCACTCTGGTGCTGTATGTGCCAGTTTAACAAACTTCTACTGGTGTATTTACATTTATGAATTTTATTTATAGTAAAGTGTAGAATTTTCAAAATAGAGAGATTTGCCTAAATTTTAGAGGAATGATATATAGCTAAACTTCTCCATCCTTCTTTAGCTACAGCATAACAGGATTCATGAAACTTGTTAACTTGATGAATCTGTAATTATATTCACTATTTTGATATTGCTTCTTTCAGATACCACAGATTGCCAGCCTATAAGAGAAGGTCTAATAATTTTTTTACAAAATTTGATAAACTAAAATATATTTATTTTTGAAATTTGAAAAATATTCAAAGTTTTTTCTGAAATTTAAATAATTATCAACTAAAAATTATTACATCTGTTAGACAATATAAAAATTTAGAGTACAATTAGTTATTTGAGAAGAATGAATATAATATAGAAAAAGTAATATTGTGGATANCACTTATAGTAAAAAATAGTTAATATTAATAATATAATAATAATTATAAGTTAGAGTATTATTTGTATTAACAAAAAATGGGGTCCCATTGGACTTCAATAAAGCTCTAGTCCCCAAAAACCCTAGATCCACCCCTGGATACGTAGATATTTCAACAATTATACATTGATAATTTTAATTTTGAATTAATTTAAAAATTTAAAGACATACTGTTTTTAAAGTATCAATCCACTAAAAACAATGACTGGATAAAAATTTACACAGAGAAAATATAATGAATTTTTTTTAAGTGCGGTTTTAAAAATCATTATTTTTTCATAACATAGTATATTCATTTTTACAGTATTGGAGTATAGAGTAATACAATGCAGTAGTAGACCAGTATTCTGCAATAAGCACATCACATCTGGGTACTTTCCAAAACTCCATGGCACACTACAAGTAAAAATATAGGATTTACAAAAGTACATACCAAAAAAATACTGATTTATTGTTTTTTTACTTGTAGTGATATAAAAATATTTGAAATTAGTGTATTTTCTTATTTCAATGCTATTTTTTAATGACCTGGAAGTGAAACTACCCAGGATGAAGTACCATGTACAGTAGAACCCCTCTAGTCCGCCCTCGGCTAGTCCGTCACTCCGGTTAATCCGACCGTGGTCGGAGTCGAGAAACTTGTCCTGACTCGTCGGTGACTCACTGTCCGTGGCGTTTTTCTGTGTTCGTTACAGTATATATTTTACATTGTGTGTACATGTACAGTTTTGTGTGTGTTTTCAACATTCAGGAGTGAAACGTAAACACGTTACTCTTTCATTAAATGAAAAATTAGCAGTGCTACAAAGACTGGACAAAGGGGAAGATTGTTTATTTTACTTTTTTCTGATAATCCGACCTTTTTTGCGTTCCGACCATACCCCCAGTCCCAAAGGTGACGGATTAGAGGGGTTCTACTGTAGTCCTAACTTGAAAAGCATATGATCAGAGTCTTGACTTCATGACTATAAGTGCATGCAACAGACATCATCTACTTGTCATTTCACAAAAATTGATATGGTAACTGACATATGTTTCCAAATAACTGCAGAGGTGTAAAAGTTTGAAGCTTGTTAGAGTTTCCATTGTCATAAATATCAGTGATAATAAATATATAATATACAAATCATTGTCTCTTTTGAATCAACATGTATTTATCATGTTTATTTGCTCATTGTAAATTGTGCTTTTCCTTTTCTGGAGACATTGTCATGGTGCAGAGCTCTACAGTAGACTAAGGAGGAACTGAATGGATAAAAATAAATAGAGCATTGACTTTCGAGCATTTTTAACTTTATTAAATGCTAACGTTTTTGACCTTATTTAAATTTCTTCTTCAAGCTATTTCAAAGATATCAGTTTCCAATTGAACTAGATTTTAGAACAACTTTAAATAAGGTTGAAAATGATAGTATTTATAGTAAGTTGAATGTGTTGGCTTAAAGGTTTAATGTATAAATTGTTGACATTAAGTACTCAGTTATGTTATATACAATATACAGTTCAATTCTTAATTAATTTTTTTTTTTCAAACCTCCAAACCTACCATGTGCACAAATTTGGTTATTGAACATTGAGGCATGCAACAATTATCTCATCTGTTAGCAACTGAGTATTTTTGCCTTATGAATATCATAAATTACTTTGTTTATTGGGACTGTAATTGTTAAAGAATTTGCCATAATATGTCACTATTATTATTGTATTTCCTGAATACAATTTTCATTTTAAGATTATAAATAATTTTTGAATTAATCACACAAAATGAGTAATTTCTAAACAATTTTCACTTAAATATTACCACTATTACTTTTTTATAGAAATTCCGAAAAATCAATTTCAAAATTAATATGAAAAAATTGTTAAAAAAGAACAAACATATTTTTGAATCATTGGTTTATGAAAGTTTAAAAATAAATAAGCAATTAAAGCCAATATGTAAAAATTATGGTTTTATAAAAGAAGTTGTATATAAAAATGGAGTAATGAGAGGAAAAACCATTATAAACATTTTTAACTGAAAATCAGAAAAGTAAACATACATTATGATTCAAATTTTCTTCATATGTTTCGTTACATCTAAAGATCTAAATGAATAATTTTTTTAGAATTATTTAATAAAAATACTTAAAAATTGTTCGTTTAAGATTGTGTTAAAATTTGGTTTTAAAAAACTTAATTTAACAAATATTAAAAGAAAAATATTTTGAGATCTGTAATATTAGTTAGCTTTTTAGTGATTATAAATATGAACATATATATATTTTTTGTTTTTTTTTGTACATTTAATAATTATTTGTTATTTTCTTTTCTTAAAATATAATTGCAGATAAAAAAAATTTTTTTGCAGCACGTGTTCCCAAAAAAATACTGAAATGTAGAGCAGTATCCAGAGAATTAAATTTTTCATCAGTGGAACCTCTAGAAAAATTTCGATTAGAACAGAAGATTCTGTTTAAAGGAAGATGCATAGAAGGTTGTTTTTAATGTACAAAATTTACAAAAATTATTAGATATTACACATTTATATATATAATAGATATTATTTTAAAACTTAAATTAATAGATTTTATAAAAATTAACTTTTAAGTTACATAAATTGAAATTTATTATAATTGAGGTTTTAATCAAATAATTTTTATAATTAATTCATATTTAAAATTACTGTATTTACATAAATAATTTTGTATTATTGTTTTCTTTGTTAAGATTAAAGGTTTGTTAATATACAAATTTTAATCCATTCAAAGTAATTTATCATTAAAAAAAGAAATTGAAATTTAAAATATTAATATATGGAAAAGATAAACATTTCTTAATGATGTAAAATGTTATTTCAGAATGGTTCTTTGAGTTTGGTTTTGTTATTCCAAATTCTACTAATACTTGGCAGTCACTTATTGAAGCTGCTCCTGAATCCCAAATGATGCCAGCAAATGTTTTAAAGTAAGATTTTATCATTCATTTTTTTTCAAGATTTTTTTTTTTATTAGTACTTTGATTTATTGAGAATCTACTGTATTAAACTTCCTTAGCTCAAACACTTGATAAGTTTACTTTTTACTTTTATCCCAGCATAACTCTTCTAACCTAGATTCTCTGTTTCTATATGTTGAAGTAGTTTTGAAATCATTTTGCTAACTCGAAATTTAAGATTGAGATTTTTTCAGTCTAATTTTGTATGCATTCTTTTGTATTTTTAAAAAGATAGACAATATTATTACAAAGTTAATGATTGCTATTGTATAGAATTATGCTTCTAATTGCATGACACAAAATTCAAAATTTAATGTTGTTTTTGCACCTAAAATAATGATTACAAATTGATCAAATCTTAGTGCTTTAAAAGGATTTTTTTAATTTTTAGATTTTTAAAATTTAAAAGTGTAACATATACAGCTGTGATTTGATGACTTAATGAATTATTGTCTATTCAAATGTATGAGTTTCTATAGACACAGAATGGGAGCTCTACATTAAATTAAATTACTATATATTAAAGGACATAAATGAAACAAACAATTATTTATTGTAACATTGTCACAATGCCGGGCTGTAATTTTTAATTTATTTAATTTAAAATATATTCTCTTCACTTCAAATTAGTAGTGACTTGCCTCTGTACATCATAATTTTACTTTAACAATAGAGTTGTGCCGGTCATCTATCTAACACCTTTCAAAAGAAAATTTTTTAATTGAAATAACATGACTGGTTTATATCAGAAGTTTGTATATACAGTAGACCCCCTATAACATGGGTTCATATAATATGGATTCGTATAACATGGTGAAAAATTGTGATCATGTTTGTATAAACATGCTAAAAGAGACTCATGTAATACAGTTAAACATCATCACTGATTCGTTTCATGACAGGATTGGTCGAATCTAGACCAATAGCAGATATTGCACAAACCATTGAATTTAAACGAGCACTGGACCTACTAAAAAACATTTTATTATTTAACGCCATAAAAATTATATTTATATTAATGATGTCTCCAAGGTTCAGCAAATTTTTCGCAAAAAAATAACTTATCAGAAAACATGCGCCCGCCGTTTAATGCACCGCTCCGTGATGAAAACAAGCTTAAGCAATGGCATCGTCGAACGGTGCACACTCGATAAGTAATCATACAATTTTTTTTTATAGCGCAGTTTATATGGATTATTCCCAAAAAATTATGTGTGTTTTGGAAATGTTGAGTCAAATTAGTCTAGAATCAATTAATTTTATGGAAGAAAACCTTTCAAACAGCCATAGTCCCTAAACTGCACACGTGCTGGGCTGTGATTGGCTCATGTATTTAAGTGACTCGTAAAACACAGAATTCATATAAAACAGAACATATCTACCATGTTTTAGAGGGGTCTACTGTAGTTAATTGGGTACTCCTGCTCCTAAGGTTTCCATATCTGGTCTCATCTTTCATCTATGTATCTTGAGATTAAGGAAAGACAGACAGACAGGTGAATGGACAACAGTGGGAATTTATAGATCTAAATTTTTTTCAAATTGCAGCCCAGAAAAACATAGGATTCCTTATACAATTTTCTTGAGTCTCAGGAAAATTTACTCCCTTTGGGCATTCCTGTCCTTACTTATTGGAACTAAACATTCATACTTTGAACATAAAAAATAATACAGAAAATAAAGATAAAGAGTTTGTAAGATTTCCTCTTCACTTTAATGGCAGAATGAAATCTAAATTATCTAAAGGATGTTTAAAGATTTTGATCATTAAATTGTTTTTGAAGACAAATAAGAATTTTCGTTGTTTTATCAGGAAAATTCTGGATATAATGTCAATTTATCTTATGCATATAAAATAGCTATATTAGCTTGGATAGAAATAGTAAATATGTACAAATTGTATGTGTTTTTTATTTCTGCTTTTGATAAATTGTATTTTGATTAGATTGTTATTTTAATTAATCATGTTTTTGATTTTTTTGTTAAAATTTAATAATGATTTGCTTTTTTTTTTTTTTTCTTATAGTGGCAATGTTGTCATAGAAACAAAATTTTACGATGACAATCTGCTTGTGAGCACATCAAAAGTTCGTCTTTTCTACATGTAAAAAAATAAACAACATATCTCATGAAAGGATATTTATTGAAAGAACTCTAATGCACCTAATTAGTTTGGTCATTCCACAATAAATGTCAATATAATTATTATGGAAAAAATATCTATTTTGATGTATTATGATTTTTATGAGGGAAAAAAATCAAACTGTGAAAGAAATGAAATTGTTTCTTACAAGATAAAAAAATAAAATTGTTATGAATTGAAACTTTATATATAAAAAAAAATTAACTAATTATATGACATTCCATTGTTTAATTTTATTCCAAACACATTTGTGTTCTTAAAAACTGCCTCATCCTATGTAATCACAAGTACGAGATACTTAAATGTATCTGGAAAAAAGACAAAAAAAAAAAAAAAAAAATGCANCACACTGTCTTCATTGTAGTTTCCCACATCTGCATGTAAATAGATTGATATGATGTTGCATATTTGTATTTTATTTCCATATGTTATACCTAAAGTATGCTTTACTTTGCATTCTTGTTTTGATACAATACAATATTGACGACTAAGAACAATTTCTATTGTGAAAATTACCAAAAATAATGCCATTTTCATAACTACATTCAAACTAATACAATTTTCATTGATTTAATTTTAAATATTTATCTTAATTTATGTTTTTATTGTAACAACATTGTGATATCAATTTACAAAACATAAAACTTGATAGAATTTCATAATGTAAATACTGTATTTATGTTGGAACTGTGAAAAAAAAACACCCTTAGTGCATCCAGCTGAGTACAGTATGAAGTTGTTATATTCATTATAATAAAAAATTTGCATTAAAACACAGATGACTGACTTGTGCTCAAATATGTTTAGATAGATCACTGCAACAGTTTTTTCATTTAAAACTTGTTGCAGTATAAATCAACTGCTCGTGAGAGATAAGCACGAGCTTTTATTTATTGATAGTTTAGTCACAACCGCCAAATTTTTAATCACATAATATAAAAGAAAACTTATTTAATGTAATGGAGTATTGCAGTAAAGTTTCATCAGAATATTTGTTTTATTTTAAATTATTTAATTGTATGAATATGTTTCCCAAGTAAAAGCTGTGTTGTATATGTTAAATCACAATAAAAGTGAATGAAAGTGAGTGTGTATTTAATATATTTTCTTCTATCCCATATCCCATAGATTTTGTTTACATAATTTGCAAACAAAATCTATTCTAAATAGATTGCCATTCTACTTTTGCCATTGTGTTTTTTGGTCAGCAGTTCAAGTGCTGCCTTCAAAATTATGTTATGCAGTTACCAGTGAGTGGGTATGCAGGTAATCACTACAATAGTATTACAAGAGGTGGGAAATGTTTAGAAAAACACTATTTAATGCTTCTCTTATCAATCCTCGGTTAACAGAATGATACATTTTTTCTGAATGTTGCATAGCAAACTATACCTTCAGTACACCTTGCCGTATTATTCCTTATTATAATTAAGAGGTTTAAGGATATGCCTTATGTAATTTTAAGGATTGCTTTGTATCTGCACACAAGTGAAATAATAATAATTGAAAAGAAAAAATTGAATAGTAAAAGAAAAGAGCAAGCCCATTATGGGTTCGGTAAGGCCGAATTAAATTTTAAAAATTCAAAATGTTACATGTAAATAGAACTAAAATTTGTCGTTTTTAAATTTCTTACAATAGAAGATTTAAACATGCAACTATATCCAATGTAAAAAAATCCAGCAACGAGTTGCATAAGTTTCCCGTTGTAAAAGTTTTACAGTATACTTTTAATTGCAATCAAGGCCAGGACACCAATGTTTCCTATGGAGCCGACATTTTGGTTTCGTAGTTCCATGGTCACGGTATAGATTCACGCTAGACTTATTACACCATCAATGAAACGGAGGACAAACTTTAGAAAGACTTTATATTTATTTGCGTGAAAAACGTCGACGTGGTGTAATATTCTTACTTCTAATCTTTTGCCCTACGGCCGGCCGTAGGGCAAAAGATTAGAAGTAAGAATCAGCGTTCACAAAACGTGAAAATGTTACGTAACGGCCGCGGCCGTTACGTAAATTTTCACGTTTTGTGAACGCTGATTGATTTCAGTTGGTGCGCGAAGTATTATTTTCAAACACGAGTTTGGCTTACTGTTAATACGTATCACGCGTATGTATTAATACACAGGAAGTCCTCGTTGGTTCGAAATTCAAAGAACGAAATAATCTCGAGGTATTCTTTGGTTAACGGGGCATATTTATTTCGTGATAAGAAACTCCGATTAAAATCCAGATAATTTTTATTCTTTCTTTTCTTCTCTTGATTGTAACTATTGCGTTCGTCTCTCCTATTTTTCTAAACGCCGAATGGCCGAGTGCTTAAGGTGGCAGTCTATCACTTTGGGAGACTCGAAATCGAATGGGTCGAAAACCCCCAGGAACCAGGAACTTTTTGTAGGGTGATCCGTCCTAATATGTCGGTCTTCGTCCTTCACCATCCGGTTGCCCCATTGTGGGTCTGGCCGGATCCATAATGAATTTACTAAAACAATGGCTCTCTTAATGACTAAAGTATAGAAAGAGTTTTAAAAAATTCAAATTCGGAAAGAATTCTTTTTTTCTTTCTTTGAACTCAAAATAAATAAAATCTTTACAATTATGAAACAAAATATTACGCGAAAGAAACCGTGCGGATGTCCATGTCAGCTTAGCTTCGGCTTGCCGTTCTGGAGAAGGCCCGGATTCGATTCTGGACCTTTCCCAGAATTGCTTGGATTATGAACATGTGACGAGTGCCGGCGGCCTACGAGATTTTAACGGAGATGAGACAGCTTTCCCTCGGAATTCTGCGTTGTATGGCGGGTGCTGAACTCAATTGAAGAAACGCGACTCTCGTGGACTTCAAGAGGTGGTGGATCGGTTTTCGCAACTTTCGGTCGATCCGACACAGTGGGCCTTTCAGATCTTAGTGCCGATAGTTTCTCATAATTAAAAATTAAAATAAAATTACACGTTTAATATTCAATTATAAGCTTTAAAATTTTGTATAAATATCAAACGAATGAATAAACAAAAACAAAAGTTGGAAGAAATATTTTCAAAAAATTAGTATAATACTTCAAAATTATAATATTACAGTGTTTCTGAAAGTATTTAAGTGTTCTAATAAGTGCATCTAATTTAAAACGATTAAGCAAGCGAACCAATGGCAGAGTCCGTTACATAGGAAACGGACTCTGCCATTGGTTTATTTGCTTACACGCTTACCTCTAGATTTGTAAAATAAAATTAAAAGCTAACTCGATACATAAATTTTAATACTTAATTTATAAATTTATATTTTTTTAAAACAGGAATATAAAATAGAAAATAAAATTAATTAGATTCGATTCTTCCAATAAGTGAATTAAATGTATATAAATTTCAGCGCCTCCTAGCGAGAAAAATTCTAAAAGAAAATCTTCGTTGGATTGTTTTAAAAATAAATCATTTAACTTCAACATTATAAGTAAAAATATTGACTAACTTTAACAATATTAATATTGATAATTAATTCATATATAAAAATAAAATATAACGAAATTAAAAATAAAGAGATGAAGAAAAAGGGGGAAAAATTCCGATATTTAAAGAGAGAGACTCGGCGAGCAGCTGGGAGAGTTGTCGGACAATAAAACGTCGGGGGTTTTTATTTATAAGAAATAAACCGATGGATTTGAAATTATCTTAAGATTTTGTATCGAGGAGAAGATTTTAAAATGTTTATAAACCAGTGCGATTGTAAATTCGTTTAAATAATTAAGAAAAATGGAGACTGTTGAAATTCGTAGCATGACAGATGCCAGAAATGGAGAAAACTCTGAAGTACAAGAGGGAAGAGTCGAGCAAGGTATACTTTTTATTTTCTCCTCTTTTAACTCAACCATATCAAGCTCATCATTCAAAAGAGAAATCTGCACTATTTCTTTCCCCCATTTTTTCCCTGAATTCCCTAAATCCCTCTTCAAGGATATTATTACTGTAAATACCCTGACCTGTAAATATAGTATTGTTTTATGAGGTTAACATGTGATTTTTCCATAAATATTTCCTCATTGGATAATTTCACAAATTACTTGATCAAAATTTATTTTTATTACTGTAAATGTTTACTTTTATTATTATTATTATTTTAATATAAAATTTTAAAATTTATACTGTAAATTAAAATGTTTTTCAGTGGACCGACTTAAAAAATCATGTGCTTTGCTTGAAATGATTGAACTTTTAAAGAAATTAACATGACAATTTTTTCAAAAGTAGAAAGACGGGAAGAACGAAACAGAATATTAGCCTCTTGGCTATCTTTATTTTCCTCGAGGCTACCGAATATTAAAATTAAAATTAAAACTGCGACACTGGAAAAAAGATTGACCGTGAATAGCAAAAAAGTTATAATGTTCTGTTTTTGTTTGTTCTTTTGAACTCTTTTTTCTGCTTTGTAACAAACGCCAAACAAATATTTTATATTCTACACCATATAAGTGCAGAATATAAAATATTTGTTTGGCGTCGATATTTCATTTAGTTTTACTCAAATTAAACAGAAGTTGATAGTCATTCGATACCGAGAAAAAGATCTCAAGTATAATGTAAGAGTTTACAGTGTTTGTTTAAAAAATATTTACAAGTGATTATTAAGGAATGCTGAATTTCACACACTGTACTTTGTAATATTTACAGTACCTTGACAAAGAAGACAAGTTTTTATTTATAGGTTTATAAACTCTTATCATAATTCTTTAAATTATTGATTTTTTTTTTTTAAATTCTGTCTTAAATCAGATTATAAAAACATTTGAAAAACCATGTAAAAGAAGTACATTTATGAACTGCTTTAAAATTAAGTGTTCATTTTTTTTTCAGNATTCCAGTCTCTAGCTTGTAGCCTTGGAGACATTTTACTAACAAGATGCCATTGTGGACCGGAACTTCCATATAAATAGGAAGAAAAGAAGAGCGTCTCTTTATGACTTTTATAATTAAATTCCTTTGAAAAAATAAATTGTCATTCAAAAAGGTGGTTAAACCTGCTAGATATTGCGCATTACCTTTTGTTATACATGCATGACAAAACATCATGATGCCATGATGAATAGTTGAATTTAACATTAAATGAAATAAAAATAATTTTATATATAGGCTAAAATCAACAATTAAAATGCAAAAATGAATTATTTTTCATCTAAAGATATTTGAATTTGTAAATGTTAATGGAGGATAAAAAGATTATTAGTATTTACATTTAATTTTTTTATTATGTATATTGAACATACTGTTTTTTTCAAATATGTAGCATATCAGTTACAGTGCAAAGCTAGTACTCAATAAAAATGCTTACATGTTAAGATTTATTAAAAAAAACTTATTGATTTTTTCTTTTCTATTATAGTGTGCGAAAAGCAGTTTCGTATGCCCTGAGGTTGGTGTAAATTTTATAAGTATCGGTAAAAAAGAGAAGTTTGGTAGCACTATGGTTATAGTTTCTGAATTTTTATTATATCAAGTTTAAAATAAAATACTAAAATGATCAAAAATGTTATATTGAAAAAAGTAATAATTTGAGACATAAACTACGTTTACACGTAAGTTAGATACAGACAATTCAAATTGTTTTGACCGAGTAGCCAATTTTCTTGATGTCCTTGTTTTATCAAGACAAAAAATATTTTCAAGGCTTTCTCTTATTTTCATTTTAAATTACCAGAATACAAATTCAAGCATGCTTGTTTTATCTGTGTGCAGACAAGAATGTTTGAAAATATAAATAGAAAAAATATTATGAATTAAAAAGATAAAATCTTTAATGATTTGACAATACAATGAAATTTTTAAGTATTATAAAAGTAAATATTAGGCGATGGATTTAAATTTCTTGTCTTTAGGAAACTTATTCAGTGTTTTATTGGCTGAACTGATTCAACTCAAAAGGTGCCAGGTTTAATTTTACTTAAATATATAATACTATTTAAATTATCTATTAATTGAAACAGATTTAAATAATAAAAATTATTATCCTAAATACAAATTTATTATTTAAATTCATTTTATTAATCATAATAATGAATTTAATAGAAATTAAATTGACTTATAAATTTATATGTGTTTGAAATTAATCTATGTTATACTGACAAGAATTATCTTTGAAACATATTAGACAAAAGATATGCTTAATTATTTTTATTTCAGTTAAAATATCAGTTTTACTTTTCATCATTAGTCTGCATTATATTTGTTTACCATCATATGTTATTTTTATAAAATAAATGAATCTGTTTTGACAGAAAAATGATTGAATAAATTAATGTAGGTTTTCTGTAAATTGAATGTAATTTATATTTAAAACTGTTATTTTGGAGATCCCTTCAGTAGATGCCTAAAGGCTAAAGACAGCATGCAATCAATAATATGAGATCATTCTATATTTCTCCTATTTCCTTCCTTATACGTCTAATACTTGAAATAAAATATTTGACCTTCACTTTGAAAAATTTTCCCCATCAGTTATTCAAGATAATATTTTAATAGAAATAATTATAGCATTCCTTGAAACTACTTATCTAGATAAATTTTTGGCATTAGAGTATGAAATTATATATTTAAATTAGATTCATATTTGTTTATCCATAACTATTAATAAGAAAACTATTTTTTCATTAATATTCTAAATTAATTTTATTACCAATTGATTAATTTTTACATCAGGTAATTGTAAATGTTTGAAATCTTTAAAATGTGACTAATATATTATTAAAGAAGTACAATAAATGTTTAAAATATGAAAATTCTAGTGTGAAACCATGTTGATGCTGTATTCTCTACATAAAAAGTTCTGTATATATATGACTTTATATATATACAATAAGATCTCATGTTGCATTCAATATTACTAACAAAGGAAAAGAAAATTTAAATTCAGTATATTAAACATAACTTCTTATTTTAATTTGAAAGGTAATGAGTTAATTCATTAACCCATCTAAAAAAAAAAAAAAAATTAGAATTGTTAAGCATTAGGTCGTTAGCCAGCCATCTTATTGTATGGGATATATTGTATTTTTTTAGAATGCTGTCTATTGAACATTCAAGGTTAAAACAGCAATTACAAACCAGGGAATTTTTCCTGTGATCAGTTAATAAAAATATTATTTAGTGGTTTTAATATAATTTAATGGTTAAATTTTTAGTAAAAATTTTATTCTGCAAAATAATAGGAATTCACTATGTTAGTGTATTGAATGAATTTTTAATAATTTGAAATCAATAAGTAATACCTTAACAAATGCTTTAACAAATGCCTTAACAATTAGCAAAATATTTATAGTACTGTTAAAACTAGTTTTAATGAATTATGCTGGTATTTAATAAGAGCATTACAGAACTATTAATTTATATTGATACACTTAATACATTCTCTTAAATGGCAACAGTTTATCATAATGTCATATGTATTAAAAATCCTACTAATTAAGCAGAATGAAAAATGAAAATGTATTAAAAAAAAAAAAAATTATAAATTAATGTGTGGAGTATTTGAAAAGATAATTTTTCAATAGTAGAACTTACTCTTTTATATGAAGAAAAATCAATTAGTTTATGAAGATTATACATAATGTATACTTAATTTTCTTAATAATTAAATAGACATTCTAGTGTCAATATATTATTATTAATAATGGCATGTTAGATTGTTCTTCCTGAAATATAAATTTTCTGACTGACTAGATAAATACCTGCATTTCTTCTGAGTATAAAATATTTATCATAAACAAGTTAGCTAAATGAATGTACTGAATCATAATACCAAAAAAATAAAGTGAAATAGTTAAGATCATTTAAAATTTAAATATTTGGACATGATGTAAAATTTACAACTTAAATATAAAAAATTTATTTCATAGAATATAAAATTGGGCCAACAACGTATCCAACTTTAATGCTTTCTCTATATTTTTCCGATTCATTTAACGAAACTTATAATTAAAATATTTCGTTTCCTGACTAAAATTTGGCATTTTTTTTAATATAATAAAAATAGATTATGATTGATTATTTTCAAAATATTTAGCATAAACTATTTCTGTTGCTCAAAAATTTATATTTATTTAAAATAATTATATAAATTCTCCTAATTGTTAAATTGGATTTGAAATATATTAATTATAAATTTTTTTAAAGATTAACAGTATATTGTGATGTAATCAAACTTTGACATATTTTCAGTATTGTGGATTTCATGTAATGAGAATTTTAAATAAAATTAGCTTAAAAATTCTGATTATGTAAGTCATAATTTATGACAATTAGAAATGATATGACCACAACAGGAAATTGATAAAGTTTATTTTCTAACACTATTATTCTTTATAATTTTCCTTGGGAAAGTAATGTAATATAAGGCACCAAATATTTATATTTAGGTCTATAACAAATATATTATTTAAATTACTTCATAATATATGTCAAATAATATCAATATATAATCTAAATTCATAACTTTTTGTCTGGCTTTTATAATTATTTTTAATTTAATTTATTAACTGTGACCATACCAAGCATCAGTGCATCTAATTTAGTATATTTACTGCTTTAAAAAGGATGTTTGCACTTCTTTTTTACAATTTGTCTGATGTAACAAAATTATAATTTAGTTACGCAATGAATGTAACAATGTTGTTTTTTTTCTTTACAAATTTTTATAGATACATAACATCTTATTAAATATTTTTATAGATTATTATTTTAAAGATATTGAATATTACATGACAATACTGTATATACATGTTTTTGTACTGTACAGTATATCAAATTTTTTCCCATTCAATTTGAATTATAAACTTTAACTCTGCA